GCCATATTCAGAGTGGGACATATTTAACAAGTCCCCGAGTGTCTTCTCCGTGTGCCTAACTGACTGTCTCTGCTTCTCCAGGTCTGCCAACTTGGCCTCAAGGGAGCAAACTCGTTCCCTGAGAACCAGGAGCTTCTTGCACCAGGCACACACCCAAGACTTTTGTCCAGTGGGCAGATAGTCATACATGTGACACTCCGTGCAAAACACTGGATAGCCCCCAACCCCCTACTGGCATCCTGGCTTCATAATTGCTTTTAAAATAATAATTATATATAATCCCTCTTTTAAAACTCTTTGTATTTATGTGGTTCTCCTTGTAGAAGTCTACTTAACTTACTGGGAACCCAAGGAGACTAGGGCCCTGGCTTTCTGGCTCTTCCTGGGCTTCTTACAGAGCCATTTGGCTCTCACCCTTTGGCTCGAGCCAGAGGCTCATGCCTCTGGCAAGGTGCTGCCTTAAATAGAAGCTTCCCCCAGCAGAGGGTGTGGCTAGCAGCTATTTGAATTCACCCAGGCACTCAATCATAGTCAAACAATGGCCCTTTCACACCCTATCTCAAGCAGCCAGGACTCTGCAACAACTCACCCACACACTCCCAAACACAGTACCCTCTCAGCTAAATCACCTCAGCTGAAAGTTAATAAAAACCACTCACCCCTCTAGCAGCTCTATCTCCTGCTCCTTCTCAGAGCTCAGCTGGGCAGCTCTGCTTCTGGCAAGGTGCAATCCTACAATACAATCCTATGCAAAGTTACACCAGTAATTCTGTATAGGATCGCACTAGTAGTTCACTAGACCTTACTCTTACATAAGTGTGCTCAGCATTACAGCTCTAGCCCCCTTTGGCAAGGTTTTAAATGCAACAGTCCAATCTAGCTAAGCCCTGAAAACAGCTTACCTGAAAGAGATAGCTGTACATACCAGCAACTTTTAAAAAGAGAGGTTTTTATAAATTCTGTTAAAAATGAATCATTGCATAGCCTTCTATTCTGGTGTCATAACTTGGTACATAAGGAATTTCATTTAAAAAATAATGCTACACACAGAGCAGATTTAATTAGTACTTTTAAATTATTCTGATCATCATTTGTTTTCTGTTATTTCAAGTATTAAAGGTATCTCACCCTGTCTGATGAGCTCTCCATCTGGTAATGCATGAAGGATGTTCAAAAATACAGACAATATGGCTAAAGTGATAGCTGCGTGCTTTCCATAGTAATCCATGACCTTCCTGTAAAAATGGGGAAAGGAAAGGGGGGGGGGAGAATCAAAGACCTTTTTACTCCATTTCTAAGCAGGTTTATTTTGCATGTGCCCACTAGATTTCAGCAGAAGCAAATAACCTGGGATCACTGTTGCAATTGGATATATTTGGATTCTATGTGATATTAATTGCGGTTCTGGATGCCATTTGGAAATTGCAATATTTGTTTAAAACAGTTCTATCCTGGCTTTCTATCTTGTTTTAAGCTGCTAAGTGGCTCTTGGTACGGATAGAAGATAACTCTGGTGTCTTTTCTTTTTTGTAGATGCTAACACAAACTTATACGAGATAAAGTCTGTCCAAAGCTGACCATCCTGTGTTCTCTCGTTTCTATTATTATTATTAACAATGGATTGTTATGGCTAGTGGAATTCCAGTCTGCCTGCCTGACCTAATGAATGGCTTTAATTTATCTGTGGCCAATGTGAGACTGAAGCCACTGTCTTCAGATATGCAGAAAGTCTAGTGATTTCACCAGAAACATGTAATACTATCCAAGTTTTCCACTTAATATTTTATGGTGCACTGCAAATCAGTGAATGAGCAACTGATATTAAGGGTTGTATTACATGTTATAAAGCAACAAACCCAGGTTTGTTGTTACTATATATACACACTCCAACAAAGAGCTGAAGCCAATACTGACTGGCACACAGGTTTTCTAACACTTGTTTGGTGGTGGCAAGTGCTGTCTAATTGCAGCAGACTTATGGGGACCCCCATAGAGTTTTCAAGGCAAGAGGGAAACAGAGACAGTCTGCCATTGCCTGCATCTGTGTAACAACCCTGGACTTCCTTGGTGCTCGCCCAATGCCATCCAAGTACTAACCAGGGTCGACCCTGCTTAGCGTCTGAGATCTGATAAGAAACTGGGCCAGTTTACACACGTTACCATCAATGGCCTGCCTTGTTGTTTGGGGAATTTAGCTATAGGGCAGAATAGGCCAGAGGGGTACAGGAATCACACACCACAGTAGGAAAACGCCAGATTTAAAAAATCTTTTAAAAATCGTTACAGGTACAATTTCCTCAAGTGGAATGATTTCCTCATGTGGAAGCACAACTTTCACACCTCTCCTATTTTTGCTGCAGCCTCAAATGCCAACTGAAATGCTGATCCTAGTGTATGGGGGAATAGGAAGTCTGCTGCAGGAAGAGGGGATTAGTGATAACCATTCCCCTTGTGCAGGTGGCTTCCATTCAACCCAGCTTTTGCCTACACCAGTCAGAACAGTTCTAAAACAAAAAGAATAAATAAAATCAGTATGAAATCAATGTCACCAAGGGTCATCTCACATTATAAAAATTAGCAAGTACATACCGGTAATCAAAAAACTTTATAAGTACATATCATGTACCTGTAGTCTATTTACCCTACACACACTCCTGTAACATATGAGAGCTACTCTTTCACTGTACCTTCATGTCATAAAGACACATAGCCAGCAAGGATTCCCTGTACCTTGCATACACAGTGTATGCACATTTCTTAGGGGAAACAACACACTGAATATACTTGCTATTCAAGCATGTACCCACTATCTCTTTAACAATTGAAGCTTATCTAAGTGCCAAACTAATACAGTGTAGGCATTGTATAAAGAGTTTACTTTTTTATTTATAACTGAGATGAGCATCTGCAGTCATATATATGCAAAGTTTGCTAAAAACAGCATTGAAAAGGAGAAGCTTTCTTTCTTTCCTTTTCATACCCAGTCATGTTGTTATCTAGTAGAGTTTTATTAATGAATTCAATTTTCACAGAAGTTATCAGGAATTATAGTTATTAAGGGAACAGCCATTTACATTTTAGTTTTACACATATTTTACAAAACATGGAGGAAGAGGAAGAGGTTGGACTTATACCCCACCCTTCACTACCCGAAGGAGTCTCAGAGTAGCTAACCCTAACCCCACAACAGACACCCTGTGAAGTAGGTGGAGCTGAGAGAGCTCTCTCAAGAACTACCCTTGAAAGAACAGCTCTGAAAGAACTTATGACTGACCCAAGGTCACACCAGCAGCTGCACGTGAAGGAGTGGGGAATCAAACCCGGTTCTCCCAGATTAGAGTCCGTGCTCTTAACCACTACACCATTGAGTAATTTTAATTAAAGAACATTATATGTGTCACTGCCTTACCTAAATGCTCTAAGGACCATTTCACATATTATATGGCACTTTATCCCCGTACACCTGGGATTGACAATGAGGTTTCACTTGACAGGGAACTGCAGTCAATCTTGGCTTCGTCACTGATGTATCACTATGACACTTGTCTTCATTGCATTCATGCTTTACATGTTTAGGTATACAACTAAAAATGTAATGTGTGAAGTGGCCACTAAACATCAAAAGATACAGAACATTGGATTCAAAGTACCAAAAGAGGAGTATAGCATGTGGAATAGGATTTTCTTGTCTTCCCTCTCCCAAACCAGCTTACTGAGCATCCCCCCCCCCAATTCTGGTCATAGGCTTTGGGGACCCGCATGAAGAGAGTGGGTGGTGAAGGGGGTCAACGCCAAAAAAGTAAATGGGCAAAAATTGCCCCTTCCTCTGCAATGGAAGTGTCTTCATGCTCTCATAAGCTCTGTTATGGTAGATCCAACCAAGAGTAATTAGTTAACACCAGCTTTGCTCAAGTTCTGATCCAAAACATATGCACTGTGATCCAAAGAACCATGTTCTGGATATAAAGAACTATAGGAAGACTGGTGCTCCTGCAACAGAGGTTTCTCACCTGCCCTCCTCAAGGCAGCCTTTTGCACTCCAAACAGCCACTCTTGAGCATCAAGAGGCCCTCCGGTCTCTTGAAATCCCTTTCCAGAGAAGAAGTAACTTCTGTTCACACAAGGGATCCAAGCCAAAGAGTATGGTGGAAAACTACACACCCAGGCTTACCTGGAACCCATTGCCACATATGGTTTCAAAGGAGTGACGTGGCATGTGGTTTCCACACATACTAGCTTATCCTTGACTGCAGGCTTCTTTTCACCTCAAATGATAAATGTATTACATTCCCACAACAGCAGACATAAACACACAATTTGCATTAAAAAGCAAACCTATCAATTTAAATATTGCACTTCAAATTATGCATCCATTTTCAAGAATCTAAGACAAAAGCATGCAAAAAGTTAAAAAGTTTAAAGTTAAAGGTACTTGGGAGACAGACTCTCACAAAACTATCTGCAGCCAGCAACTTCAACATCTAGCAGGTGAATACTAGTATTTTGTTCTTCAACACTGATTCAGCAGCAAAGAAGACAAACACACACTTCTATTCAACTTTAACCATTAATATTACCCTTCTTTTTTTCCAATTGAGGTCAGTTGATAAAGATTTTGAAACTTAGCTGTACCTTGTCTCTCTCAGTTCTGGGAAGAAATAAACTCTGTGCTTTTCTTTTATACCAGCAAAATTAGTCGACCTTCCACCTAGAGCTAAGCCGAAGGATCAAGTGTAATTTCTGCTCATTGGTTCACTATTGCTTGATGTAATTCCATCATATGGATGTTATCTCTTCCTTGACTTTTAAACATATCACTTTTTGCATTGTAATATTAAGGAAAGGTCAGATGGTAGGTACAGGGATCAGTGATGTTTATGATCAGGGTTTTTCCCCTTGCATTTTCATCTACATTCACAGCCATTTTCTGTAACTGTAGCTGTTGTAAAACAACAACAAATGACTACAATGACTTCATTAGGGATTTAAGAGACAATAGCATGACTGTCTTTTCTTTTCTGTATCTGTAATCTGAGACATTACAGTATTTGAAACAAAAACTGGAAAGGGCTAAACTAGTAATAACAATAAGAACTGATAGCAGCCATATTAAATACGTTGCTATTTAACATCATCTTTTACTCTTCTCTCATTTCTAATAATACCTGATTTTCCATCTACATTCATATGCATTAAAGTTTCTCCATTCTACAATGTTCCATAATGCAAAGAGGTTTGCATACTGCATCTGGAGAGCCAGTGTGGGTATCGTGGTTAAGAGCTGCAGACTCTAAACTGGAGAAACAGGTTTGATTCCCCACTCCTCCACATGCAGCCAGCTGGGTGACCTTGGGTCAGTCACAGTTCTCTTAGAACTGTTCTCTCAAGAGCAGTTCTCTCAGAACTCTCTCAGCCCCACCTACCTCACAGGGTGTCTGTTGCGGGGAGAGGAAGGGAAGGAGATTGTAAACTGCTCTGAGACTCTGAGTGAAGGACAGGGTATAAATCAACCTTCTTCTATACCAGATGATTTCCCTGCCACTAAGCTTTCTATTGCTTTCTTGATTTCTTCTATTGAAACTGGTTTGATTTCTATTGAAATTAGTTCCTCCACAGCAGAATAATGATCTTTTGAATGTTTAGAAATCTGAACTTAAAAGTTTTTGCTATCTTGTTTGTCAGAGTCAACTTTGTATGAAGTAGAAAAGTATCTAAGCTAGTTCCTGATTCATTCTTAATATGGGGAAAAACTTGTTCTAATTTTGTTTGCAAGTAGACAGGTCAACAGCTTCCCAGGTTTATTACCTTGTCTATCATTTATAGCATTTTGGGGGTATCATGGGCATCATGCAACGTTTAACTTGATCAGCAGTAAACTTTATGTCCTATCTCCCATTCTGTTCTCTTGTATTATTTGACTAAAAGTCTGCATTTGTTATAATAGCATTGTTGCAAATTCCACTGTCTTCCTACAAACACTTTAAAAGCTTTCCAGGCCATTATAGATTTATTTCACCAATATCATAAATGTTTAAAAATTACCTCTTAACTTTTTGTATTATTTCAAAGTTTTTCAATAGAAAGGTATTAATCCTCCAAACTGTCTTTAAGCCTGCAACAACATATTGTCCTTAAGTCTATTGTGTTTAGAGTAGCCATCACGAATGCATGGTCAGCAAGCAGCACTGGATCAATTTAAATATCCCTCAGCTCTTGCTATAGGTTGTAGGAGGAG